AGCCAAGGCATATGGCGGGCACATTGTTTATTTTCTCCGGGCCTCTGTTTGTAAATGGGGATATTATTTTGCCTGCTTGATAAGGTTGTTTGAAGGTTACTTGATGGTGATAAAGCATTCATCCTCACACCGCTCAGCCTCCAGAAACTTTCCAGATAGATGAGCCTCTGATACCATTGTGTAAGACTGTGGAGGTGGTCGGGGCCACAGATTTACACTGTAGATCTTAAGAGATGAGTGGCAGAGCTGTATTTGGAGGTTTCCTGTACAGTGGGATGTGGTGGAAAACAGGGCAGGCAGGCCTCACTTGCAGAGTTGTACTGGGGAAGGGACAGGACTTCGCGTGGGGTGCCCCATCCTGGCGCTGTAATGGTGGTTTCCGGGTGCCTAACCTCCGGAGGCCTCAGTTGTTCTTCGCCTGGTAGGAAGAGAGGGCACTGTCTCCAGGGATGACCTCCAGGCTGCTCTGGCCCCACCTGGAGGCCCGGGGTGGCTGGGCGGGGTGGAGCGGGGCCGGGGACGTGGGGGCCGGTGGCTGACTGGACGCCCGGCCCCGCAGTTTGACCACCTGGATTCCGAGTGGCTGGGAATGCCACCGCTGCCCTCGCCGCGCTGCCTCTTCGGCCTGGGAGAGGCTCTCAACTCCATCTACGTGGTCGGCGGCCGGGAGCTCAAGGACGGCGAGCGCAGCCTAGACTCGGTCATGTGCTACGACCGGCTGTGAGCGCGGGCCGGGGGCGGGGCGGGGCGGGGCGGCGCTGAGGGGCCCCGCGGCGGGGGCTCGAGCGAGAGCCGGGGCTGCGGGCAGGCGGAGGCGGGGCGGTCGGCAGGGGGGTGCGAGAGGGACCTGGGGGTGCAGGTAGCGCACGGGGTGCGCTCCGAATGTGTGTCGGGTGGGCGGGCGACTGCAGAGACGCGGACCCAGCGCACGCCTGACCCCGGCGCTCGCCCTACTCCCGTCCCCTTCAGGTCGTTCAAATGGGGCGAATCGGACCCGCTGCCCTACGCTGTGTACGGCCACGCGGTGCTCTCCCATATGGACCTGGTCTACGTCATTGGCGGCAAGGGCAGTGACAGGTGAGGCTGGGGCCTGGAGCGAGCGCACGAGCGGGTTTGTAGGTTAGAGCGGGAGCACAGCCTCCCCAGGCTCTCCAGGGCTGGTGCGGGCTGCAGGGACCCAAGCCGAAGCCGAAGCCGAGGAGGGGCGCTGTGCTCCCGAAGCCGAGGAGGGGCGCTGTGCTCAGGCTCCTCCCCTCTCACTCGGTGTCCCCCACCTTCCAGGAAGTGCCTGAAGAAGATGTGTGTCTATGACCCTAAGAAGTTCGAGTGGAAGGAGCTGGCACCCATGCAGACTGCCCGCTCCCTCTTCGGGGCCACCGTCCACGACGGCCGCATTTTTGTAGCCGCTGGGGTCACAGACACGGGGCTGACCAGTTCAGCGGAAGTATACAGCATCGCGGACAACAAGTACGACTGTTTCCTGACCCCTTCGGCTGGGCAGCCAGGGACCAAGGGCCCCACTGTAACTGCCTGGCTGTGTGGCTTTGGGCCTGTTGGCCCTCTCCGTGTCTGTCCTGGCAGGACCCATAGTTGCTGCCCTGGGCGTCTGCTGTTGAGCTTGGACGTCAGCACAGACATAGCCTCTCTCCCCTGATCAGCAACGAGGCGGGCTTCCCCCACGAGGTGGGGCAAGGGGTATGGCCAGCTTGCTCTGCAGGAGAGAGCTCCCAGGAGTGGGGTGGGAGGTGCCAGGTTCCTCATTCAGAGACTCATACCAGGCAGTGGCCTGGTGCCAGGGATACAACGGTGACCAAAACAGATGCTGCCTGGTCCTGGGAGGTCGGGAGAAAACTGAGTTGGAAGTCCATTTGGACTTAGCCCACGAAAGGGATGGTGGGAGAAGGATGCCCCAGGCAGAGGGAAGTTGGTGCCAAGTTGGGCCTTGGCTCAGGTATGGTGGGTGGGCTGGAGAGGTGGCGAGCAGGGCTGCGGGACTTTATCCTGAGGGCGGTGAAATGCCTGTGATGGCTTTTAGGCTCACATCTGTGTTTTATTAGATGACAGCTGATGTGGAGAACAGACGAAAGATTTCCCAGGAGGCAGGGGTGCAGCTGTATAGCAAGGGAGGGTGGTGGCCTGGAGATGCGGGCACAGCAGAAATGGGGCAGAGGGGATGCACTGGAGAAAGACGTAGGCTAGGGCATCTCCCACTGTAATGCACACACGAATCTCCCAGGGATCATGTTAGAATGCAGATTCTAATTCTCAGGCCTGGGGAAGGGCCTGAGTGTGTCTTTGTAATAATTCCCCCTCCGCCCCCAGGTGATGCTGATGCCTTCTGGTCTACGAGCCACACCTTGAGCAGCTCGAGTTTAGGAGACACAAGAAATAGAACTTAGAGACTGATTGGATGTTGGGGATAAGAGGGAGAAGTGGACGCCTTTGAGGCAGGGTGGGAGGCCATTTATTGGAGAACAGTTGGCATTAGATCAGAAACGTGAGGGTCCAGTTAGGACCTGTGGGTTTGAGGGAACTGGGGGCATCCAGGAGGAGCCCACCAGGGCAGGGAGAACGCTGAGCAGGGGTCAACAGAAAATGGAGGGGACGAGCTCCCTCGGGAGAGAGAGTGTAAGAGGGAGAAACCGAGGCCCGGACCCCAAGGGATGGTGAGGGCAGATACATCATCCAGGAAGGAGCCTGAGGACAGGAGAGGGTAGGCAGGGGGGAGGTGAGAAAGGCACATCAGCAGAGATGCGTGCTGTGCCTGGATGTTATGCTCTGTGGTGGCTGGGGACCTGAGTGCTGTTTTGGAGGGTAGGGATGAAGGCCCAACTTCAGGGCCAGAGGAGGGGAGTGAAGACACCCTGAGAATAACTGGGCAGTGAAAGGAGAAGAAGGATGGGGCAGGGGCACCAGGAGAGGACTGCTCAGTGGCCGCTGAGGTAGCGAGCAAGCAAGAATTAGTTCAGGAGCAAAGGAGGGACAATGGGGAGATCTGTGGTGGATTTCACGGGACAGGCTGGATGCAATGACCAGGGGTCCATGAAGGGAAGTGGCAGGGGCAGGAGAAAGGGGAAGACCTGCGGGAGGTCCTGGGAGGGTCAGGACACAAGAGGTTGTGCTGGGAGCATGGGTGTCTGGGATTCAGGTTTCAAAGAGGTGCAGCTGAAGCTATGGGCACTGGGGCTCCTGAGGCCCCTGGGTGATGCGCCTCTTCATGCCCCCTTCTCCCCACCAGGTGGGCACCCTTTGAAGCCTTCCCACAGGAACGCAGCTCACTCAGCCTGGTCAGCCTGGCGGGCACCCTTTATGCCATCGGTGGCTTTGCCACACTGGAGACCGAGTCTGGAGAGCTGGTCCCTACAGAGCTCAATGACATCTGGAGGTGAGCCTGGCCCAGGGAGGTGAGGGGAAGTCTGAGCAAGGCTGATGCCCCACAGCAGGACTGGCAAGCTCATTTGGGAGTGGGGCGATTCCTCTTCCAGGGAGTCCCATGGGGAAGGGGCACCAGACACACCCTGCTCGGCCCCTGGAATCAGGTACTCCAAGAGTCAGTCTCTGTGTGGCTGGCAAAGTCTGGGTTGACTCACAGGGTACCAAGTCCCACTGTGGAGCATCAGCCGTGTCTCAGTCAGGAGCTGACCCCAAGCTTAGGGCAGAGACCCACAGAAACAGGCCCCAGGGAGTAGAGGGGGCCCTGAAGAGGCAGCTAAGCTTTTCTTCCCTGCTCCATCCTGGAGAACTGGGGCCAGGATTGAGAAGAAGCTGGACCCCAGCTTCTCAGAACCATCACCTTCCATCTGACCCTTCCTGGGGGTGGAGGGAAGAGGTTTCCGTGCCTGGAGCACCTGCTGCTGGCATGGGGGTGGGTGGAACTTGGGGACCGGGGCTTCTGGAGTGCTGAATACAGAATTGTCCAGAGGAGGGACCATGGAGATGCAGGCCTTCCTGGAGGAGTGTGGCATTCCTTAAGAGGTGACCCTTCCTGGAATGTGGGGTGGCTGTTCTTTAAGGGTGGGCCTTGTGGCAGCCCCCTTTCCCAGGGCATGAGAATTCTCCAGGACCAGACCTTCCTGGAGATGGGCCTGGGGCCGGAGGGACAGTCCCCAGGGGTGGGCCTAGCATACCCAGCCACCCCTCCCTGCCGGGGCCCACTCTGCACTTGGCTGACCAAGCTCTGCGCTCCTGTCCCCAATCCCTCCCACCCCCAGATATAATGAGGATGAGAAGAAGTGGGAGGGCGTCCTGCGGGAGATTGCCTACGCAGCCGGTGCCACCTTCCTACCTGTGCGGCTCAACGTGCTGCGCCTGACCAAGATGTGACCAGCCCGGAGGGCCTGAACTTAGCATCCCTCCTGTCCTGTGGCCACACAGGCCCGCCATGTGGGGACTCCCGAGAGGAGGCTGGGAGAGGCCAGAACCCACCTGGATCCCGTTGTGCCGCCCGGGCTGCTGCTTTGGCAGGGGAGGGAAATTGCTGCCCAGTCCTAGCCTTTCCGGGCAGGGACGAGGAACTTAAGGGCTCATAGGCATCTCCGTATCCTTGATGTCCTTGTTCCATGAGCCAGAACCACAGAGAGGTGTCCCAGGCTGCATTCTGGCCCAGTCCCAGCTTGCGTGTGTGTGCGTGGGGAAATTTCCCCACGGGAAGCCATCTCCTTACCTGTCAGATGGGGAGTGTCCCCCTCAAGCACACCCTGCGGCCTGGATAAGTCACCTTCCTTAAGAAGAATAAAGTGCCTTCTGAGCAAGTAGCTCAGGGTCTGGAATCAGGTACTCCAAGAGTCAGTGACCAAGTGGTTGAAGATTCTGGGCTTCAACGTTCAGCTGCTGGGCTGGCCAGGTCAGCGGCCTCTGCACCGCACACAGGTATCTCCTCCGCAGTCTGTGTGCACCAAGAGCCTGCCCCCCACTCCCTGGGGCCCAGACCTCCACCCCCTCATCCAGCATGGACAAGGAGCCAGGAGACCGCTGGGGGAAGGGACAGGGAACAGCCGAACTGTGGTAGAAAAGTCTTTTATTCTATCAGTCAGGCCCCATCTGGCCTGGTCTGGGCCCGGGCCTGGGAACAGCTGAGCAGAACCCATCCCTCTCCCCTCTTCCTCCTCCCACCTACTCGGGCTTCTCTTTGTCCTGCTTCTGCTCCTCCTCTAGTGCTAGGGTTCGCTCTCGCTCCTTCACCAGCTGGACACCACAGTAGGTGACAAACAGGATGGCCAGAGTGGTCTGGGGGAACCCTGTGCGGGAAAGAGGTCATCAATGCGCAGGAGCAGGACCCCATCCTCAGTGACTCTTCTCATGCCTGTCCCCACTTGACTAGCCCTCCCTCTGAGTCCCCAGGGTGTTGGGTTGGGGTGGGGGCATTTCAGAAGGGCCAGAAGGTCACAGTCCTCAAGGTTGATGCCTGGCATTTTTTATAGCCACACCCCCCTTTCCCTCACCTGTGAGTAGCAGGCGCCTGGCAACCAGCTCTGTGAACTCCAGGCTGTTCAGGCTTACAAGGTTGTACATGATGATGGCCCAGAAGTTCATGGCCCCAAAGAGGGCCCGGACCCTGCGAGACATCTGCTCCGACAGAGAGGCCTGCCCAGTCCAGGAGAGCATTGGCAGTGGGGCAAGAGGGCCGGAGGAAAGAGGACATGGTTGGCCACAGGTCTTGCCCACATGGCCATCCCAGGTCCTGGGGATGGGCTTGGGCCTCTGAGAGCCCCCAGGTCAGCTCTCTCTCTCTCTTTTTTTTTTTTTCTTGATGTTTGTTTATTTATTTTTGAGAGAGAGACAGAGCATGAGCAGGGGAGGGGCAGAGAGAGAGGGAGACACAGAATCCAAAGCAGGCTCCAGGCTCTGAGCTGTCAGCACAGAGCCTGACGAGGGGCTCAAACCCACGAACTGTGAGATCATGACCTGAGCTGAAGTTGGATGCTTAACTGACTGAGCCACCCAGGCACCCCAGCTCCCCCTCAGTGTTAAAGATGAGGACACGGATGACCAGAGAGAGGGGACGGTCTGACCCAACACAGCCTGGTGCAGGCGCCCACTTCTCATAGAAGGAAGTGCTAGATACCCAAAGGGGGAGCCACTGCCCTGACAACAAGGAGGGTGTGCTGAGAAAGTTCTGGACGGGGGGCCACATGTGGCTGGAAGACTCTAGAGAGCAGCAGTGCCACCCCCTCTGATGACCCAGCCAACTGCTACCCCAGACCTTCCCCACTCACCTCAATTTGTGCTAGGGGCCCCGACTCAGCCAGCTTCTGCACCCAGAGCTCAAAATTGAGGCCAAAGCAGTTAAGGAATGACCACAGGTAAACAATATCACAAGGTCCAAGCCACAGAGTGGTGATGGCAAATGTGGCCACAGTGGCCCCCAGCTCCGGGATCACCTCGGAGTGCTCCCCACCAATGTGGTCATACACATACCTGCAAGAAAGGAAGGAGAAAGGACAAGCAAGAGTGTGGGTGAGGGCAAGTAGGAGATGGGCAAAGGATACACAACAGGGGCAGCCCTCCTCAGCACTATCACCCTGGGCACATTTTACCCAGAGGAGGCTGCCTCTCCTCTACCCAACTTCAGAAGGTGCAAGGCTCAGCTTTGAATTCCCTATCTCCTATTCATTCCCTAAGTGATCTCATCCAGACCCAAGACTTTGAACACTGCCTCTATGCTGATGAGCCCCAAATCTGTGTCTTTAGCCTGCTCCCTTGATCCATATATTTCCCTGGATATGGAAATCCATATCTCACTTGAATCTCTCACTTGAATGACTGATTCCCCCATCCCTATCCAAACCCGCTGCATCCTTGTCTCAGATAATGACACTTCCATTCATTCAGTTGCACCCAGAAGCCTCGGTGCCATTTTAGACTATCAAGTCCCCTCTCCACGTCCAAGCCAGCAAATTCTATAGGCTCCACCCAGTCCTGACCACTGCTGCCACCCCAATTACCACCCTCATCCAGCCGATCATCTCCTCACATAGATTATTGCAAGAGCCTCTTAAGCCATTTCTCTGCTTCTCCCTTTGGCCCCCTACCGTCCATTCTCCCCCTACAGCAGCTAGAGGTATCTTTTAAGAGTGTAAGATCACATGACTTCCACGATCAAACCCTCCCCCAGCGGCTCCCCATTACATTTAGAATAAACCACCTCTCAACTAAGTCTAGAAGATCCCTCCCTGACCTCATCACCTACCATTTCCCCCCTCATTCATGCATGCTTTTGCCTTACTGGCTTTCCTGTCCCTCAGATAAACACAGCTGGGTCGTGCCTCCAGCCTATGCGCTTGTTCCTTCTCTCTGGACTTCTCTTCCTCAGATTTCCTTATCACTCAATACTCTATTCAAATAGCTTCTCACAGAGGCCTGCCCGGACCACAGCTGTAGAAGCTTCTATCCTGTGGCCAGCTTCTATCCCATTACACTTGTTTTACTTTTTTCATAATGCTTACCACTCTCTAAAATTATCTTATTTATGTGTTTGTTTACCTGTTTATGGTCTGTTTCTCCCCACTAGACTGTAAGCTCCATGAGTTCAGGGTCTTTGCCATGTTCACTGCTGTATCCCCAGTGCCTAGAACAGTGCCTGGCACATAGTAGGTTCTCAATAAATATTTGTTAAACAAATTCAGTAGAAGACCCCTTGAGTAACTGGCCTCACCATGACTTGACCTCTTCATTGCCAATGGCTTCTTCTCCACATCAACTCAGCCACCCACTCCCATGGACAAACTCCAACTTTGTCACCTCTTGAGATTTCACTCCTTCCTAATTACCATTCTCGACCAGCCCCTCCTGATGTGGCCTCCCACCTCCACTTCTTCAATTTCACTGACCCCTCTGCCCCTTCCTCATCTTAAGACCCTATCTTTACCACCATCTTTAATGGGCTTAAATTCAATGAGTCATCATTATAAATAATCTAAAACCCTGTATCCTTCACTTCTTCCTTCTCACCCATCTGAGAGAGCCCAATCCCCCACTTTCTCCTCACCCACACCCAAGAAGCTAAGCCCTAATAAGGAAAATCTGACACCTTCACATATTACTGTCCAAAAATCCACTACTTTCAACCCTACCTGGGCTCTCAATGCCACGGTTTCTCTGGTCAGCTTCGTCTGCCATGCTCTGCAGTGGCTATGCCACCCTTATCTCGCCCACAACTTGAATGGGTGTGGTGGGCGAGCTAGGCAGGAGGAAAGCAGACACAAAGATGCTGACTCCCTCCATGCCCAACTCTGCATCTCTCAGCTGGTGACCTTGCCTCCCACTTCATGGAGAAAACCAAAGCCTTCAGGTGGATCCCTTACTGCTCTACACTCATGTGCCATTCTGCTTCCATGATGGCTTCTCTTCCTCCTCCCTGTCCCAAAGCCAAGCTGCTGCCTAGCTCTGGTTCCATCACCTCCCAGAGACCTTACACTAACAATCACCCCTGTATTCTGCCTCCCCAGCTTATACTTCTAGCAACCAAGCACGTCCCATTGTTTGCTGTCTTAAGACACCTCACCTCTCCCTTCAGTCACTCCTCTGTGTTCCCCCCTCAGTAGCTTCCCCAGCAGCATCTGACCCAGCTGCCCCCACAATGCCTGGTTGGTCTCCCTTTGTTTCCAGGCTGTCATGTGGTCTTGACCGTTCTGCCCCTCTGACCATGCCTTTCAGTCCCTTCTACGGTTCTCCCTTTTCCCCCAATGGGAGTCCTTCCAGCTCCAATCTCAGCTACGCTTAGTCTCCTCTTCTTTGCTCTCTCTCCTGGAGACTTAATGCACTCCCAAGGACCAAAGACTACCCTCCCACATTCATGACACTCAGAGCTGCATCAGTTGGCCAGACTTCTCTGGACCCCAGACCCTCAGACCCAACCACCTCTCTGAACCTCCACAATGATGTCTCCCAGATCTTACCAGACATTTCTCACACAGAACCCCTCTCTGGATGCCGCACCTCCCAGATAGGAATCTGGGAGTCATCACCCTCTCCTTCCCAATCCCTCAATCTATGGCCAAGTCCTGTCCAGGCTCCCCCTGGTGTGTCTCCAACCATTTCTCACCTCCAATGCCCCCATCCACGTCCAAACCTCTGTCTTTCACCTAGACCTCTGCGACGACCTCCTCCTTGCTTCCTCTGGCCCAGGGCTGATCTTTTAGAACGTGGACCAGTCTCTGCACTGCCCTGCTCAGACACCTGGCAGTTTGATGTGACCATTGCCCCACCCCACCCCAACTCACTTGCAAAGCCAGTCGTTGATGCCACGGTCGAAGTGCCTGAGGGAGGAGAGTGGATGGGTGTCATCAGCCCGTAGCAGAGCTCCAGGGGAGTGGGGGAAAGAGGCTACGGGAAAGTGGGGGTCCCCGTGGCATGTCCCCGGGATCTCGCACTCACGTTTCCGCGAAGACGTAGAGTGCGGTGATGCACTTGGGAGGCTGGGGTGGGTCCAAGTGGTCAAGGCGAGCCACGGTGTTGACCACGCCGAAGAGCACGGCCGCCTTCACCCAGTCGTACACCAGGTTTGAATAGGCTAGGCCAGCTGGGGACAGGGTGTCGTCACTGCCTGGGGGGCGTCGCGCGGGTCTTCGCTCCCCGGATCCCCAAATCCCAGGAGGGGTGGCGCAGAGCCAGGGTCTCCCCTACACACTTTCTCCACAGTGCGTAGGGGAGGTCCTTGCACCCGGCCAGCCCGCACAGAGACCCCGTCCCTACTTCCTGGGGGAGGAGCTGGACTGGGCCCGCCCAGGGGAGACCCCTTCCCGGTTGTGGAAGTCAACCCGAAGGCCCAGTGGGGCGGGCTTTAGCCCCAACCGCTCTGGCCTTGCAGAACAAAGCTATCTCCAAGTCCCCCGCATTTCAAAGAATAAGTCCCCATCCCCCCACCCTTGGATAGGTGCTGTGCCCTCTCAGGGTGTCAGCTTCCCCAGCTGTGACGCCATGGGGGCGCAGAGGGTCTTTTTGTCTTTCCCAGCCCCTGTTCTGGCCCCACGCGCACCCACCGAGGGCGCTGTCCGGGAGGCGGTTGGCAAACTTGAGGTCGCTGGGGATGGTGAGGATGTAGAAGAAGTGGAAGAAGATGTCCACGGCCATGACGGCCACCACGCTGAGGCCGGCCTGGGCCCGGATGCGCCACAGCTCACCCTCGCGCCTCACCGGCTCCACCTGGCTCATCTGGGGGATGCCAAGTGTCTGAGTGGGGAGGCAAGCCTTGCCGGAGGAATCCTTTCTGAATGAGGAGGCACCAACTGCCCGGGGATCCGAGGCTGAGGGGAGACGCGGCTTCATCCTGGCAGCCTTGCCCGAGAGTGGAGACACTTCTCCACCCGGTGATCCTTGTCTGAAGGGGGAATGTGGCCCCATGCTGGGGTCTGAGGAGGCAGGCCACCACGGCTTCATCCTGGGGTCATGCCTGAGGATGGGGACACAGCCTGCCCTGGGAGTCCTGAGATGGGAGCCCCTCTCTGAAGACCGGGCCCCAGCCCTGCTCTGGGGGCCCACAGGGTGTCCTCTCACCTGGGTGTGGAAGCGATCAAAGGTCATGATGGGCCCGAAGAAGAAGAAAGGCAGGTAGAAGTTGTACTTGAGCAGGTCAGCTAGGGAGTAGCGGCGATCGGGGTGGGCACAGCTCTCCAGTGCAAAGCTGGTACAACGCAGCACTGTGAAACCGCTGCCCCCGTGGAACAGCACCTCTTGAAGATCAAAAGTGCCTGTTACAAACCCGCTCTGGATGGGAGAGAATAGGCCGCCAGCTCACCAGGTGCCCCGTCTCTGGGAAGTCCACCCAGCTTCCCACAGGGGCCCAGCCTTGTCCTGCCCCTTCCTGTCTTGCCCAGAGTCAGTCAACACTGGCCACTGAGGGCTAATTCATGTTAAGTGCTTGGACAGAGCAGGAAATCACCTGTCCCTGCTGCAGTGGATGGGGCCACTTTGTGGGCAGGTCTATGCCACAGTCAAAGGCTTGGAGACAGGTGGGAAAGTGAAGGAAATGCTTGGGAGACTCAGGAGGTAAGGGCTCTGGATGGAGTGAGAAGTTTGGGGTTCTATTCCTGCACCCTCCACCCTTGCTGCTCCCCATTGCACACCTGCCAGGAGATTAGAGGATCAAGCTTAAAGGAGGCAAGGCTGGCCAGGCCAAGGCCGAGACAGAGCCAGGGCTGGCCCAAGAGTGAGGCCACATAGAGGCTGACACAGTGGCCAAGTAGCAGCAGCAGGTACCAAGGACCCATCGTGCCCAGCACGGCCAGGGCCCCATACACGGCATACATCCAGGAGCGGAGCTGTAGACAGGGAGAAGGAATGGCTTATCTATCCATACAAATGGAGGTGGGACCCCAACCCTTGTAGCTGAGGGGGAGTTGCAGGGGAGGCTAGGGTGGCCCAGTCCAGCTCACCTGGGGGGCAACCATCGTGCAGAGTTTAGCAAACAGCACATGTCCAGAGAGGGCGAAGATGATGACATTGCGGAAGGAGGTGAACCACATCACCCACTCGAAGTCAGCCACGTCCTGGGGCAGGCCCGGGCAGGTTAAGGAGGGGCAGGGGGCAGGATGGGCTGGCACTTTGGCTGATCAGAGTCCCAGCACCTCTCCAGCCCCTGTATTCTTATGCAGTAGAGGACAGCAATAGCTGAGGTCCTTGCCTTCCCCAGCCAGGTAGGTAGAGAGGAGTGAGGGGCACCATGTGAGCTGCCCTGCCCCTCAAAGCTCCCCTTCGGTCCAGCATATTGCCTCCCATTACACCATTATTGCATTGTTCCTGGGAAGGGTGGTTCTGGAGGCCCCTGCTGAAGCATGTCTCAATTTATTTGCTAAACGAACAGTGTCTGGGTCAGGCTTGATGTGGCCCCAGGAGGACACAGGATGGGCCAGTGGAGAAACTGAAGGCATTGAAGCTCAAGCCACAGACCCTCCCCACTGTGAGTCCTCTGTTACATGGGAATATCTGGAATAGGAGAGTCAGGAAGGGTCTGGGATGGGAGAGACATGCCAAGGGTAAGGGACCTCAGTCAGGGATCCTGGGGCGTAGGACCTACCATCTTCCGGCCAATATACTCCCAGCCAGGTCGCACAGACTCCCGGAAGGCCTTCCGGTGGGCCCCATCTGAGAACGGAATGTGGCCTTAGTGGGGGCTGGGGAGGACTCCACTCACACACACACACACACACACACACACTCACACCTGCCCCTACAGCAAGGCTGATTCCCACCCTAGAGGCAGGGGAATGGGTCTAGATCGGTCTCTCTCTCTCTCTGCCTCTGCTTCTCTCTGGGTCTCACTGTGTGTCTGGGGCCAGGTCTCTGACTGTATCCCCGAGTGTCTGAGTCTCTCTCTCTCTCTCTGTGGCTCTGTGTGCTGGTCTCTGTAGTGTCTCTGCATCTGTCTCTCCCTGTGACTATGCCTAGCTCAGCCCAACCCCCTGGGCCTAGGGAATATGTTGGCCTTGCTGGGTGGAACCCTGAGGCCCCAAGGGGAAGAAGGTTCCCACCCTCTGCTCCAGAGCCCGGCTGTTACCTTGTGAAGCTTCTAGGAGGCCCCGGCCAGCATAGGCCAGAGCCCCACTCAGCACCAGGGAGTACAAGCCCAGCTCCGCCGCGGGCAACGCTGTCTTGATGCCCATAGCCTGGATGGTGCTGGGGGAGACAGATCGAGTGAGGGCACTGCTGCCCCCCTGCCCTGCCTAGCCCCATCTCATGGTGCCCCACAAAGGTGATGGGGATCCCATTCTGAAGAGAGATTGCCCCTCCTGCCCTTCAGAGATCTCATGCTATTATCCTCCCCTCCCCTCTCCCCATTCCTCCCACACCTGCCAACATCCCGTGTCCCTTCCTAGCTGCTACTCCCACTCCCACCCTGCCCATTGAAGGCTCTTGAAAACATAAGCTTCACTCTCAGCCTGTCTGCCTCATCTTCGCTTAATCTTTCATACCTCTCAGGGAGACCGGTCCCCACCTTTTGCTCAAACTGCTTCTGCCAGGGCCTCAGATAACCTTCATGTGGAAGAACCCTATATCACCTCAATCATGTTTCTGGCCCCAAGGGTCCCCACACCCCTCAGTAAGCCTCCTTTAGCTCCTAATAATGCCCCACTCACCTCAACATCCCCTTCTTTGATTCCCACACCCCTCCAGAGCTGCCTTTACTTCCCTGAGAGCTCAAGACCCCCAAGGTCCTGTCCCCAGCATCAAGCTTCCTTACCTCTCATGCAGCCTCCAGCCTTTCACTGACTCCCATTGCCCCAACCAGCCTCTGAGCCCCAGTCTGCCACTTCCCTGGTCCCTGCCTGTGTCCGTGGCCACACCAGCCCCACTCTCTCAGTACTTCTGTATTCAGGCCCTGGATACAGGCTGGAGGCGGTGCTATTTGAAGAGGTGCTCCAGGGTAGTGGGTGTGGGGCCAGGCAGGGCCAGGCGGGCACCAGGGAGGGTGCTGGCCACTGTCCAAGGTGCTGACTGTTATCGGGCTCACGGTGAGCCTAGCCACTCCCTCCTTCCAGGGCCTAGTTCATCCTCAGGAGTCCTGCTGGGCCATCCCTTCCTATCCCCTCCTAGACTGCAGCCTGGCCTGGGGCCTTCCCAAGGGTGCATTGGTTAACAGACCCAGGGCCAAATTAAAGGGAGAAACATGTATAGGCACCTTCTTGGCCTGGGCTGGGCCAAGAGGTGGCTGGCATGACCATGTCTTCCACCCTTGATCCTCCCCCAAATCTTCCTTACCAGCACCACAACCAGCTCTCCTGGGCCCCCAGGGTTGGCATTCTCCCGACTACATAGATAGAGGGGTCATGGACCAGAGCGGGACAGGGACCTGTCAAGGTCACACAGTGAGCCTGGGACAGGATTGTGTGTTCTCAGTGAGCTGTCTGGAATCTCAGATAAGAGAAGAGCACTGCTGCCCCTGCCCATACAAGGGGGCTTTCCAGCCTGACTTCTGCACTGTTGGGCTGAGGGCTGAGGCAGCTCCTCATCGGCCAGGTGGGGGTAGGGAGGCCTGGAGGATCGGGTTATTGGAGCAGGAGCTTGAAACCGGAGCAGAGTGAAGAGCCCGCGAAATAGCTTTGTCAGCTGCCTCCCACTTGCTACTTTCCAATTTTAGCTCCCCATGGCCGGTGCAGGGTGTCTCCAGTGAGGCCCCTGTGAGCAGGGCCAGGGCTGGCCCCCGGCCTCGGACCTCTTCCGATAGACCCCTGGAACCTAGGCTACCCTGTGGACACAGGGGTGCCCCTGCCCCCTGGTCCTGCCTACCTTAGGTACACCTGGGGTAAAAGACTGCTTTGGGTTCTGAAGTCTGGGATGAGGGGCCTGAGGTGGGCTCCGCAGGTCTCAAGGACCCCAGAGTGGCTGCATCCCCAGATGGCACTGACCTTGAGGAGGTTGTGAGGGACCCTGGCACACTGCCCACCTCGGGCTCCGGGGTCCTGCGTCCGACCTTGCGTCCGTCCGACCAGCTAGGCTCTGGGGCCACGGTGGGGTGTGTCCAGCCCTGGGGTCCCCACCCCCTCAAGGCTATGAGCGGTGAGTGGTGACAGCAGGAGGAGGGTGGAGGAGGGCAGGGAGGAGGTGGCCTTCCTGGAGCGGAGCTGAGCAGAGTGGAGCAGAGCCGAGCGCTGCAGAGCTGCTGGCCACAGGGAGCCGCAGGGAGGATTGTGGGGGGGGGCAAGGGTGGGGGAAGGGGTGGCCAGTGGCATAGGCTCCAACAGGGACACCTGGGCCTCACTCCAATCTGCCTCTTCTGGTCTATAGAGCCTGTGTCTCCCTCTCACTGCTATCCAGGACTCCCCTCTTCCAGGAAGCCTTCCGGACAGCCCCTACTGGCCTTGTGCCCTGCCCCCACTGCACACACACACACACACACACACACACACATGCACACTTCATGCGCAGCTCTGTACTCTACCCTGCACCTTTACATGTGAACTCCCAAGGGCCGTCCCAGGGCAGATCCATCTAGCCCCCTGCCCTGGTTCATTTCATCATGCCAAGAGTCCTAACTGGCCAGCCATCAGTGCCTGAGGCAGGACTGGCTTAACTAGCAGGGCTGGAACTGGCATGAGACATGTGGCAGAGGGGGCCCCATACTTCAGCCCTGTCCCACAGGCAGTTGCCCAAGTGGAGGGGTGCTGGCAGGGTCACTTGGCAAGGCTTAAATATGTATGTGGAGTGGCTGGCATCCTCTTGAGTGTCCCTAACCGACTGGGAGCTCTCTGGGGGCAGTAGGACAGGGCCCTCACTCACAGAAGGGGCAGCCAAGGCCTCAGCCCAGCCTTCCCAATGCAGAAGGGTACCCTGAAGAACCCACAGAGAGGACAGGAACATCTGCTAGTCTCCCTTTAGGATGAGAGCCTTGAGTCTAAGGGAGCTGTATATACTTGTGCCGTGTCTGTGGGGGCCTGTCCAGGCATGTGCAGTGAGGAGGGTCTGGGGTCGGTGGAAGAGTGGCGTTGAAGGAGCTGTGTGACTGAAATAAATCACAGGACAGGTCCCGGAGCTCCTGCTGACCTCTGGACCCCAGCCACAGGCTCAGCTGAGGATGGGGAAGGAAGGGGCTCTTCCTCCCCCCTCCCCCAGCAGGGCAACTTCCAGAGCCCGACCAAGGTCTGGGAAGGGGAGAGAGAGTCCCCTATCCTCCCATAATGCCCTTAGGCAATGAGCTCCCTTCCAGGCAGACACACTGGCCCAGAGGAAGAAGCAAGGAGACCCCTGCACACACACCACACAGAATGACACAGTGGCCTTCGTCATGGTGCCTGGACCTGAGAAGTGCACGTGGAGATTACTGCACAGTATAGGGGCTGGGTGAGGGCTGCAGCTGGGATCATGGGTCACACTGGAGGAGGGATGGATACCTGAGCCAGACTTCAGGGCTTAGGGAGGGCTTCCTGGGCAGGGGTGGGGTGCGGCACACCCAAGTGGAGTCCTGAGGTAGAGTCAGTGGTTATTAGAAGGGTAGTAAGTTAACCCCAGTAGCCAGGCACGGTTCTAAGGCTTTACATGGACTCTTTAATGTCACTACAAACCTTAGGGAAGGTGTTAACCATTTCCCCCAGTTGATAGAAAAAGAAACTGACACCCAAGGAGGTCAGCCCCATAAGCTTCTGGAGCTGATCGCTCTGCAGAGGCAAGAACCCCATTCACCCACCCTGGGTGCAGGCCGAGACCAGCCTGGGCATGCCAGCCAGTTCTCACGAGGCTTGAAGAGAATGGCTCAGAGACGCGGATGGGTGGTTTGGCTGCACATGCAGAGCACAGGCTCAGCTAGCTGACTTGAGCCTGAGCCCAAGATCTGCCTCGCTGGTGGGATCCACTTCTCAGAGCCTCAGATCCCCATTTGTAAATGAGCCTGCTCTGTCCTTATCGGGCTTTGGGGGGGATTCCATGACTCACTCCATGAAGGGCCTGGCTCACTGAATTGCTCGTGAAGAGAGCCACAGCTCCCTCACTCCAGAGGCCCAGAGAGGCAGAGCTCACCCAGCAGGAGCTGTGCGCAGCGGGGTCTGCAGGGAGCCTGGCATGTGGGGAGGGCAGGCTGGATAGAGGGCTAGAGAGGCCTCTTGGACGTGGCACCGGACAGTCCAAAGCCAGCCTCACCCCGTATGAGGGTGGTGGCAAGGGAGGGTGCCTGCCGTGGCCAGCCCACAAAGCGAGGGCAGGAAGTCGACTGGGCTTAGATCAGGACAAAGGCCTGGGTCAGCTTCCCAAATGCTGCAAGGGCCACTGGGAAAGATACAGTGGGCAGGGGGGCCAATTCTCTCAAGTCCCAGCGTCCCCTTTCATTTCCCAGTGTATTGTTACTCAGAGTAAAAATGTGTGGGAAGTATCCTGTGTGTCTATAATTGTGTTTTGTGTCTGTTGTATGTGGGGTCTGTGTATGTGTTGCCTTGCATGTTGTTTGTGGTGTGTTTGTTGTGTATATACGTATGCCGTGTGCACTTTGCATGTGCATGTGCATGTGTGTTATGTATCTAGTGTGTGACGTGTGTACTTTGTGTGTGTGTGTATGCAAGGCTCAGGGACTGTAGGCAGTGCCTGGGGAGAGGAGGTGGGGTAGCTTGGGCCTCGCTGGGGATGGAGATGGAGAGAAGAGGCTGGTTCTGGCCACTGCCTATGGGGGCACAGAGGAGGACCCCCACTGCAGGCCACCTTGCCCTGAGCTCCTGAAAGCAGGGGAGGGGCCCCATGGCAATGGAATGTATTTGGGGTTGGAATCAGCCCGAGCCAGGCTGCGACCTTGTCCAGCTCAGCTGTAGTGCCCCAGAGGCCTTCACAGGGACAGTGGCCAAGCCACACCCACAGCTCAACCAGGTCTCACCTGTCAGTGCCGAAACCTGAGCACCCAGGCTCGCAGCACCTGCCTGGGGTGCGGCCAGGGAGAGTCCTCACGTGAGGCCTCTCCCCAACCCAGCCTCTTCACTTGTCCTTGTCCCTCCGCCCTCCAAGCACCTGTCTCTCTCCTCCCCCTACTACTTTTCAGCCCCAGGAAGGGACCTCAGCATTGTCATCTGTGAAAGGCAAGTCCAGCCCACCGGCTGCCTACCTGTCTGGGGGCTGAGGAGTTCCTCCTCAGGGTCCCAGGGGCAGGTGGTGCTGCTCTGGAGGGGCCACGGTCACTAAACTGCACAGACTAGGCCGCCCTACCCCCGACCTGACCCACTTGCATTAGATCCCCAGGGCCCCAGTCCTTGGCCCCTTTGACAACCCCTCCCTTCCTTAAAAAGCCTGCTCCCAGGCTCTCCTGGGCCTTCCCCTTCCACCCTCCACCTCCCACTCCTCGGGGAAGTATGGACAGCCCCCTCCCCCCCAAACCCCAGATCTGGACAACGAGCCTGGAAGCCTCAGCAGAGAAGGTGAGAGGCTCTGAGGGGCTGCATTCTGTGTGCATCCCACCCCCACCCCACCCCCTCCCACTCCATCCCAGCCCTATTTGCCATGCCTCTGACTTGACCAGGGGCTCCCCGAAAACAGCAAGTCAGATCTACCTCTGGACCACTCACAGGCCTGAAGAGGCTGGCATGCCGGTGGCACTCCCCACCTGATGGCCGGCCGGCTGAGTGGATGGCGGCCTGTGAGTCTGTCTCCCCCACTGGCTGGCGGGGCACTTCCTAGAGCTCAGGGGCCATGTCTGTCTCACCCGACACCCCCCGTGCCTGGGGCAGTGGGGCGGCTCAAGAGATAACCAATACCAAGGGCTAACATTTATTAAGTACTTACTGTGTGCCAGCCACTGCTCTAGCACTCGACCCTTTTCAACTCAGCGACTCCTGAAGAGGGATTCTGACGGAGGATGGAGCAGACTTGGTCTAACTAAGCTGGAGTGCTGATGGCAGGTGCCGCAGCACACAGCTCCGCGGCAAAGCTCTCAAGGCTGCCTGTAGAATCTGTAAATGGAGACTGTTGTCTTTATGTCCACAGGTGGCCTAAGCAAGGAGTGAGTGCCCGGACTGACCTCTGCAAGATGCCAATTAGCCAGTTGACCCCAAAATGAGCAAACAAGATTTACTATGCCCGATGGCAGTCTTTTCTGGCCTCTCTCTCTCATATGAATCCTGTTTTATCTTTGTGGAATGAAATCAATCTATTGATACATGTGCCTTGTACAGAAGTGAATGGCAACCGAATAATCAGCTAAATGTCTTTGAGCTGTTCTTTGACAGCTCAACAGCCCTTGACGGAGGTTTCTAGTTCTGCCCCCATTTTACGGATGAGGACGTGGAGGTTCTGGGAGGTTAAGTAACTCGCCCAAGGCCACACAGCTGGTGAATTGGAAGAGAGATCTGCCCCAGGCACCACCCCCATTCAGACCCCGTGACTTGACACACTTTCCTTTCTCAGATGCACCCTTGACCCAGGAAGGGCAGCAAAACCACCCTTGAGCGGTTAGAGTGTGGGTTATGCCACCCTGTGCTTCCCTGACGTGACCACGCTATCCATCCGTGAGGAAGGGTAGTTGGTCCTCTGCCTGCTTGTCCCTCCCAGGTACTTCCCCAGGGGCTGGAACCTGCACACAGGCACTCGGACCACCCTCGGGGGCTCCCCCCATGCCTGCAGGGGAAGGTACTGATCACTTGGTCTGGTGTCCTGACTCTGCCTTGGGCCCACTCCTCACGGTCACACAACGTCCCCTCTCAGCACAGACCCTCTCAGTCCCTCCGGCGCTGCCTGGCCATTTCCCTCCACCAAGAACTGGAGGAGAGATCTTCCTTTCCAGGGACCCTTAGGACCCCATCAGGACTGCTGCCTCATCCTGTTGGCCTTCACTTGCCGAGGAGCCTCTAGACCTGTCACTCCAGGCAGGGTCCGGGGCTTCCTGACTGTGGGGCAACACAGAGTACCTCCATGGCCCCATCCCCGAGGAAGGGCCTGAGCAGACAGGGTCCCAGGGGCCCCAGGTGGCTTCCCTTCAGGAGGAGGTATTTGCACGGCATGTGCCCCCACATCTGTGAGTCACTGTGCTAGTGACTGGTCTTCACGTGTGGGAGTGTGAGCACAAGCCCGTGTCTGGGGGTGTGAACGCCGCTCACGTATGGCTGCGTACTCCCGGGTGTAGGTATTTGTGTGCATCTGTGCCTTTGTGTGGGCCTGTGTGCACACAGGTGTGGCCAGGGGGTCTGGTCGGTGTGTGTGGCTGTGGATGGCTTTCCTTAGGGCCACCTCTCCCCATGGCTATAAGTGCAGTGAAGCAGGGAGTGACCCTGTGACAGTTACAGAGGGACCTGGGGGCTCTCCTGCCGCAGCCCTCCCAGTGCTCCCCTGTGTGGTCGTGAGGGAGGAACACCATGCCTTTGCCTGGGCTCGCTGCCTCGGAATCCTCCTGCCTGGAGCTCCTGCCCAGCTCCGCACCTGCCCTCCACCACCAGCATCCACTAGAGGCAGCCTTTTTGGAAGCAAACGGAGGCGACCCCCGGAGCAGCTGGCTGAGGGTGGGCACTCCCGTCCTGGCTAATTGCTCAACTGGAGGGTTAAATGTTAGCCCAGCTTCTTTCTATAAGCCTCAGTTTCTTCATCTGCCAAATAGGGTGACAAATCCTTGGGTTACTAAAGGACTAGATGGGGTCAGGTTTCCACAATAGATGCTCACTCACTAGGACCTGTGGTGACTATGAAAATAATCATTATTATTACAAGTCTGAGGGTCTGCATCTAAGGAAGACCCCTGAAGAGCGGGCTGACAAAGTGGCTGGGAGCACATGTCCCCAAGGCTGCAAAGGTTGGGGGTGGCCACGGATGGAGCCATGGAGGGGAGAATGGGGGGTATATGCCCTGGTCGGGGGGGGGGGGGTGGGGGGGCCTGGGTGGCCTGAGGGACGCTCCCAGCTGGAGCATGAAGGGCTCGCCTGTGCATATGGAGCCATGTGGGCAGACAGGGACTCCCAGCTAGGTCCTAGGACAAGGGTGGTGAGCACCTGCCCAGGGGACCGCCGTCTGTTCACAGCCGGCTTGTTGTCCAAGAGCTCACGCCGGTGCTGAGCAGGCAGCTGGGCCTCCTCCCCTGCCGTATCCACGCCTGTCCAGGGTCTCCGGCAGGGCTCAACCAGGGTTTTTCCTTTGCCCTCCTGGTCTGAGATGTTGGCTTTGGTCACCCTCGGGGAACCTCTTCTGGGAGAAGGGGCTGAGCTGGTTGCCCCAGGTTGGCTGCCAGAGCAGATGGAGTCGACAGAGCCTCATCCTCTCAGAGCCTAAGGCTGCCTCATCCAGCCAGGCTGACACTGAGCCACCGTCCTAGTGCTTGTCCGCCTTCTGCTGCCGCAGGGCCTGCAGGAAGACCCCTTTCACCTGGCCCAGGGTCTCGTGGTACATACGGAAGTCCTCCTCCTTGCCACGCAGGGCGCTGCCCAGGGCGGCCTTCAGCATCTCATTCTCCTCCGCCTGGACGGCCAGCCTGGGCCACATGAAGAAAGGGCTTAGCGTGGCCGTGCGGGCATACATGGGGGTGCGTGCATGTGGAAAGGGCGCTGGGAACAGGGCTGCTGGCATGGTTGTTCTTTAGGCTCAGGGTTCTCCTGGACCCGTCCCCTCCTCCCACAGACCCTTGGGGGAATACCATGTGGGATTGTTCTCTGGGCCCACCCACAGCCCTGGGCCTGGCACCCAGTATCCCCCCGAATGTTGGCTGCCTCAAGGAGGAGGACTACTTTGTAAAGGTCCTCCCCATCCTTCTTTGAATACCATGGTCTCTGACCCTGAAAAGTTTGAGTGAGAAAAGAGGGTTTAGCAACCCACACTTGGTAAAACTTCTCTTGGGACTTTGAGGTCATCAGGGATATGGCTGGGTCTCTCTGCCCTCTGATTGACAGTTGCTGAATCGCAGGCCCAGAACCCAGGCAGGCCGACCTCGGGGCAGACAGAAGTCAAAGGGGGAGGGACACGATCCTTCCGCCCATCGAAGCACCTCCACCCAGACAATGCCACCCTCAGGAAGGTGGGGCAAGAGAGCACCTGGTGGTCAGCTCCTCCATCTGTGATTCCACGGGCACGTTGGAGAGCTGGGTGAAGGAGGGGTCCTTCCTTTCACTCCCGTTCGGGTTGTGCCTGGTGTTGGAGGTGGGCAGACCTGTGGGGCAGTGGCAGCCACTTTCTGTGATGACGCCCTGGCCCTGTGTAAATGCTCTCCTTCTCTCCTCCTTCCCCACCTCCACTGCCTATTTCCTGCTTTTCCATTTGCTGAAACATTATACTTCCTCCAAGATGAAGGACAAGGCATAGCATAACATATACGTTGTCAAATCACTATGTTGGACACCTGAAACTAACATTGTGTGTCAACTATACCTCAATTAAAAAAAAAAAGGTTTTTTTAAGATGCAGCACGAGGGCTGCCTCCCTCTAGAAGCCCTCCTGATGCCTGCTCTGCGTTCCCTTGGACTCAGGCCGTGCTGTCTGCTACGGCCCTGATTCTGCTTGTCTTGTAGCGGGGTGGTTCCTCTCGTTATTGTCTCCAACTTTGCACTTCACAAGTTTCTGGAAGGCAGCTGGGACTGAGATCTGCCCTGCACACTGAGCCTGAGTCTAGACCATCACTGCCTCTGATGCCCTCACACCACTGGACCCCCACCTCCAGAGCCAACCCTGACCAGCAGCTCCCTACATACCTACAGGGGATCCAGTGTGGCCAGGGCCAGAGGCCACAGAATGCTCAGAAAAGGAAATCAAAGCCAATGGGTAGGGAATTTGGGCAAATCACAGCATCAGAAAACCAGTGCTGAAAAGGCCCTCAGAGGCGGCGTGGTTCTCAGGGATAGTGTGGCCCAGGGAAAATCGCCTGGAGTCAGTAGACTTGGCTTTCACCCCCTTGCTGTGTGGCCTCAGGTAAACCATCAACCTCTCTGAGCTGGTTTTCTCATCTGTAAAATGAGGATGATAGTTCTTGCCTCTAGAGCTTTGTGAGGCCGGGTGAACTCACATTTATACCTCAGGACCTATGTGATCTGACCACCTCTTTAGTACCTTGTCACTTCTTTGACCTTGCCTCATATTCCCCTCCCCTCTGGCCGGCTGTACTCCGGCCTCACTTGCTGTTCCTTCAAGCCTCCAGCTAAGCTCTCACACAGTGCCCTTGCACTTGTCTTCCCTCGGGTATCTGTGTGCTCATCCCCCGTCCCTGCCATTGTCTCTGCTCAGATGTCAATTCTTCCACGAGGTCTTCACTAGCCCCCTGTCCCTGATGGAAACCAGCTGCTCTCAGCACCTCCTATCACCTCCTCTGACTTAGCATGTCTTTTAGTGGCTTGTTTGGTTATTATCCATCTTCCCCACTGGAGTGGAACTGCTGTGGAGGGACCAAATTCCAGAGTCAGGTCTCCTCATTCTACAGATGGGGTGGTGCTCTGCCCATGTCACAGGCCAGCAGGTGGCAAAGGCCACATGAACACTTTTTCTCAGGCAGCTGCCCCTTGCTATTTGGGCAGAACCAAAACGGTTTTTCCTGCCGTGGCTTAGCACCCCCTGGTTAGGTTACTCAGGAGGTAAGCCCAAAGCCTAGAAATACCACCTCCCTAGAGGACCTGTTCCTGAGGGCCCAGGAGAGTCAGCAGGGTAAGTTACAGGGACCTTCCCCAGCCTGGATTCTCAGCAGCTCCTGGAAGGCCCCTTGAGTCCTGGGCCCTGCTGGTTGGAGAAAGGAGAAGGGTACAACTCCTGCTTTGTGCCTCACTTCTGGCACATCCTTCTGAAATGTTCTCATCTCATCTGGGCTGGGGACAAAGGTCTGAGTGTCCTTGCTAGGGGACGGCTGGGGGATGTAGTGGAGTGTTGAGAGACAGGGCAATGGGGGTAGCACCTCCCTCCAGAGCCTGTAGGAGGTTGGGATGGGGACGTCAGAGGGAGGCAGGCCTGGGCCCTCCACACTAGCGATTCTTCCTTCTTTGGCTTCTCGTTCTGGCATCCTGCACCCCCATCTGGCCACAGCCTCACAAGAGGCCGACGCTGCTGGTCCAGGGACGGCACCTTGAGAACGACTGGGTTACAGCACTAGATCTTTTACTTTAGGACAACAAAATCTCCCTGTGCAGCTAGGTGTGGTCAGGGGGTGAAGGCAGCAGTGACACGAGCAACCTTAGGACCATGCCCTTAAAAGGTAAGGAGCAGGACGTCCCTTCCCTCCTGCCCTTCGTGCTGCTGCTGGGGAGGCCGAAGTGGCCATCTTAGACCGTGGAAGCCGCATGTTGAACATGACGGCACACAAGACAGAGAAGCCTGGTCCCCAAGCCTGCGGAGAAGCCACTCCATCCCTGCTTATGCTCTGCTGCTGTAGCAAGCAGAGAGGGATTCTTCTCCCGGTCAGCCCCTGCTGCTGTTCTGGCCTCCTCAGCAGGCCAACTTCGCCTCATGACCAACTCTAAACAAAGTCAGCTGGGGACAGAGGGTTAAGGGCTGGGGTGGGGGTGACAGGCAGTGGTGGTGGTAGCTGAGAGCGTTTAGCAGAGGCACTGCCACTTTTATGAGGGCTCACGGGTGGGCTGGGTCAGAGCCACGTGGGCTGATGGCCTTCTGGGGCTCCTGGCTCTGAAGAGGAGGTCTGGGGAAGGAGACACCCAACAGCACGGGCAGGCTGAGCTCCGCCCCGATGGAGGCCTCCGCTCCCCCATGCTTCTGGACGGGGCTGAAGTGGTTGCCGCTGGCGGGCTCTCCCGTTAACGGCAAGGCCACCCCCTGCGGGCTGGGGGCCCTGGGCCAGCCCCTACCTGCTTTGCTCCTGGGGGCTGCTCTCTGACAGACTGACGTCCTCCCAGGCTCCAGGCGCATCTTCTCCAGGTGTTGCTCCAGCACCACGGTGCGTTGCCGTTCTTCCTGCAGCTTCTTCTCTGATTCCAGAAGCTTGCTGTTGCTCTCCTCCACCCTGGTGATGAGACAGGAGGGGCTGCCGTCCATCTGCCGGGGGCAGGCAGGGGCAGGCAGGGGGCAGCCCCCGGCCCACCTGCTCTGGCCCTCAGAGAGGCAGGCACATCGTGCCCTGGCGGTGCTGTGACCGGTTCTTTATTTTTACCGCAGGAACCGAGGAACGTGCGTTTGAAAACCATATAGTTCTCTCCAAGGCTCAAAATGAAAAGCTCGCCAGCCTCTCGCACTCCTGCCCACTCCCGTTTCCGGCTCTCCAGAAGCAATCACTTAGAACACTTTTAGCTGTTTCTCTGAATATTTACTGCCATATTTCTACAGATGCCCACGCTGCTATTTTTAAGGTTTCAATATAATCTTTCAATTTCCTGTCGTGCAACATGAGAATTTAGTTTTATTTTGGCCTTCTCCCCTTACCAAACAGAATTACCCCTCCGCTTCCCAGTGTAGTTACATTACCATTTCCCAGCTGAATTAATAGTAGGTGGTGTATTAGTTTTCCATTGCTGCTGTAACAAATTACCACAAACTTAGCAGCTTAAAGCAACACACACTTATCACCTCACAGTTCTGTAAGCCAGAGGTCTGGCAGGCTCTGTTGGTTTCTCTGCTCCAGGTTCTGGTGTTGCCTGACCTGGGTTCT